AAACTTCTCTGTAAATTAAAATTATCCTATTGATAAAATTAAAAGTTTACTTCAATATATTAAAAAGAACTCTTACAAAGCAGTAACAAAAAGTCCAGTATAAAATGTGTGAAGGATAGATATAGGCAAATCACTGAAGAGATAACCAAAAATACCCAAATATAAGAAAAGATGAAAAAAAAAAGTTGAAGTAAAAACAACACAAATGAAATGCCATGTCACACCAATCAGACTGGAAAAATCCAAGAGTCTGACAACACCAACTACTGGTAAGGATATGCACAAACAGAAACTGTCAGTATTCTATATACACCGGGGAAAGAGGGAAAAATTTATATTCTAAGACCAGGCAATTTGACAATCAGGTATATGACCTGGAGAAACTCTGGTATGTTGCTTGAAGAGATACAAGGATTTCATGAGGCACTATTCATAGTAGATAAAATATGAAAACACTCTAAATGTTTATCAATAGATGAAATGACAAATTCCAGTACATTTATCAATGGAACACTACAAACCAGTCAAAAATAAATGAACTAGACCTACAGTGCCAACAGGAATCGAGGGGAAAAAAAGTAAAATAAAGAAGCAAGTTTCAAAGTGTGTATACCATGACACAATTGTATTAATAGCTGGCTAAATTTACCAGGGCACAGTTTTAAGTAGCTTAAATATAAAATTAAAAAGCACCTCATTTAAATTTTACAACCTTATGAGGTAAATATTTCTATTATTTAGATTTGATAGATGGGGACACTGAGGCATGGAAAATTTTTAAACTTGCCTAAGGTCACAAAACTATTAAGTCGCAGACTCAAGATTCAAGCCTAGGACATTACGGCTCCAAAGTCCACACTCTTCAAAAGCCAAAAGCAATGTCATGTACTACACACACATAAATATATAGTTTATTGAAAGGTAAACTGGAAGGATATACATCAAATTCATCACAACAATTGCCTCTGGGAGGGGAGATAAGGAGAGAAAGAAAGAGGATGAAATTGGGGAGAAAAGAAGAGACTTTTCATCAGCAATGTTCAGGTAAAGTATAAAGATCTACACTGAAATTTTAGAATTTAGTGTGTTCTTTACACAGTTCTTTTATATTAAATGTGTATCTCAAGCAAAAATAAAAGAGATGTCAAATTTTCTATGGTGAGTATGTGTGTTGCTTACTACTTTGGGGAATTTTCTGTATTTTTTAAACTTTTCAAAATGTCTCCCCTATAAAACAATATTTTAACAAAAATAAATGTAACAAATTTCCAATCTCCATATTTCAGCTTTTATTTGGAAATGCCACCAGCTAAACTGGGAGTTTATGTATGTGTATACACTTTAACATACATATGGAAAATGCATTTTTATATGGTTCAAAAGATACAACCTAATGATACCAGAAACTGTATTTCTTGTATTTTGATGACTCACTATTCTCAATGAAAATGAAGTACATATAGCACTAGCAGGAAAATTCCCTTAACACCTTTCTACCTCTTTTTTTCCTGCTGCTTTCTACTTGTTTGTGGTTTTGAAAAGAAGGAAGCAAAAAGAAAGTCCCAAGAAATTGTCACACACTTTAAAAAATAACAGCAGCCATAGATAAACCTATGTGGAGTCCTTCTAAACTTAAGATTTCCCAACATACAATCAAGTAACGTTCCAAAAATTTACTTGTAAATTGGTTGTCTGGAACTCAGATAATATCTTCCCATAAAGAAAGTTAAAAGAGGATGTAATCACCAGGAAAAAAGATACTGCCTGAGGTGCCTGGCAGTGAGACAGAGAAGGCAGAGCACAGTATATGCACTGATGAACCAGAAAGAAAAGAAAGGGCTTTCTCTGCCAGGGTTTGAGGTTAGAAACCATGTTTCATTCATTCACCTTGGTATTCCCAGTGACTACCAAAATACCTGGTACCTCAACAACAATTGAAAACCCGCTGCCTGCTGACTGATGAGGTAATGAAGAAAAGACTTGAGTCAAACAGTTCATCAGTTGGTGGCACCGGCAACACAGAATAGTGAGGGTTAACACACAAACAGAAAAAAGGTAGGAGAGTAACAGTGTGCAGTAATAGGGGCATCCATATATAGAAAACTGTTATCAGGCTGGTGCTGGTAGCTAGGAGAATGCCTTCACCTGTATTACTAGCTGTTTCCATTATTGTGTATATTGCATAAACACCATATTTTCAGTTAGTTTTGTTAATAATGAGGCATAAGGTAGTCTCTATTGGGGCAGTAGTTATATGGGATTTTCAGGATTTTCTCCTATGACTCTTGAAAACATATTAGTTTCATTTTAGTTATTATTAGAGTAATACTATTCAGAAGAGAGAACAAAATGCAAACACTAAAATAGAAATTACCGAAAATCCTATCATCCAGAGATAATGTCTTTTAATATTGTATGCATTTCCTGAAAATCATTTTGCCATATATATGATATATAAAAAATAATAACATAGTAATTCCTTTTATTCCTATTTTTCTCTCAAGATTACATTGTGTTTTCTCATGTTAGTAAATTAAAAAAATACTTTTAATAATTGCATTTACCACACATATTAACTGCCATTAATTTTACTAATCCTCTAGTATATGGCATTTTAACTTACAGATTTTTCACTATTATAGTAACATACTATATAAACTAATCCCTTCTTATATATAAAGCTCTACATTGCTATTTTAGAATTCAAAGTGATAATTATGATACACAGTAATAAAGCATGGAGTACTTGACTTGCCCCCACAATTTCTACTGAGCAACAGTCAACAGGACACTGAACAAACAAGAAAGAAAGAAATTTTTATTGACTTTTCTTCATTTTCTTCTTCCACATTTGGTAGGAACAAGGAAAAATTCCCACAAAATAATTCTCTGATATCAGAGAGGACAAGAATAACAAGTTAATTTCTCTGCTACAGTCACTTCTGTCTGCTACAGCCACTTTTTTCCACTTAGAATAATGAATCATCAATTTAAATAGTAATAAATAAGATATAACATTTATAATACATCAAACATCTCTATTGGAGCTTAAATCTAAGCACATAAATAATAAGTATGCTTTGAAAAATTCTGCAAACAAAAGATAACATTAACTAGTATCACTCAATGAAAAAATAGCTTTCTTTTACAATTCTTCCACATTTTTATTATTTTTTGAACGAATTAGAAAATGTCATGCATTCTATCTCTTCCTTCTCACAGCCTCCCAATTACTCCAAATTTTATTCGAGTTGCCATAAATAGGTCAACAGCTCCATGAGCTTAAGAATCAATAACTATTTAAGCCAGTGGTAACTCATGTGGAAAAGTTCAGAACAAATCAGCATCAGCTTCCTGGCTCTCTTGCACAAACATAAAATTTATACTGCTTAACCAATTTTCAAAAGTGTAACTTTGTGTACATAAATTTAAAACTGAGGCCAAATTTTACTTTTTATTCCCAGTACTGGGCTACCGTCAAAAGCAATCAACTTTCCTAACACATTTTTTTAAAATTCCGCAATGAAGTTAAGTCTATGCTTAATCATTCAGAAAAAGAAAATTATGTAACATACAGTAGTATAATGATGACGATGATGATAATATACACTATTCTGGACTCCTACTGAGAGCTGCAGTTCAAAAAGAGAAAATGTGAAATTGAGGTAAAAGCTACCCAAAATGTTTAATTCTGGCCAAAACAAAGTTCCCATAAAAGAGGCCTAATAACAATTTTTTTATTACAAGTTCAAAAGGGGTGCAAATATCTCAGAAATCTTGTATACTTAGATTTTCAAAAGCTGAAATCCTAGTATCTAAACATAAAACTGTATAACTTGCCCAAGAGTCCTTATTTATTAACCAATCTTAGGTCCCCCAGAGACTACTTTTTACTATAATCTCAAATGCACTACAATAGATTAATGTAACCTGGGCTACACTGTTCACAGGTGTCTCCTCCTCCTTCCCCCAACAGGAGAGAAGAGGTGGATCAGGGCAAGCAAAAATAGAAAGAGACTATGTACACCAAACAACAGCTTGTAATCTTGTAAAATTGCTTCTTTTAAACTTGGACTATTATTGTCATTAACGGATAATATTTTAAAGAATAACATATTCACGGAGTAGTACAATTCCTGCCCTTACGGGTCTCTAGCTAGCTGACACGCGTTTTCTTCCCAGATAAATGCATGCCTGTTGACTGATGCCTGTCCTGCTGTTGCAAACAAGAAATAACTGTCCTATGAGACAAAAACCCTTCTCTACGGCTCCAGGCGTAACCATACGTTTGAATTAAAAGCACACTGGAACAATAACAAAAATCTTTCAGTACATCTATCATTTAAAAGCATGATCATGAAAAGTCGTTGATGCGACCCAGTTTTAGGTCACAAGCTTTTTTTCCCCTCCTCCCCCCAGAAAGCGGTAAACTTCAAAGGGAATGGTGGCGACCAGGAATTGTTTTATCACCTCCCCGCCAACCCCCTCCCCCGCAAAAAAAAGACTGGGGAAAAACCCCAAACTGGCCAACTTGGACCTTGAGCAGGCTCACGTTGGCCGAGGTAGGCAAAGCAGACCCCCGCGAGGAAAATCGGGCCTCTGGGGGCCCGCCAGGCTCCAGCTGCCGCCTGTTTAAAACGTCGAGCAGGTGGGATTCCGTGAGGCCACCTCCGTCTTACGTAACGAGCTTGTCAAAATCCCAGCTCCAGGACCTCCCCTCTCACCGCCCCCGCCCCCACCCACCAACTAGAGCCCCACGCCAGCCCGGAATAGAAAATCCGGAACGAAAACAGAGGAGACCCCCCAGCTGCCGACGCAGCGGCGCGGGTGCTGCTCTCAGCATCACCGCGCCACCCGCAGCCGACCCAGCTAGCGAAGGACAGCCAGCCTCCGAGAAGCCCCCGAGCGGAGGTCGCGGCCATACACGCCACATCTCCGAGCCCAGCCGGCCCCGCTCCCGTGCCCACGGCTGTCACCGCTCCGGGCAGTGACAGCTCCACATGCCACCGCTGTCCGCGCCGCCGCCCCCGCACTCACCTCACCGCTGGCTCCCGCTCGAGAAGCGGGTCGAGGTTGGAGAGCGGTGCGGCGTCCACTCAGCGGTGGCGGGACACGAGGGGCTGAATGCCGCGGCGCTCCGAACCCGCTTAGCTCATCCCCAGCGGCGCTCCGCCCTGCGCGGCACCCCCGCCCGCCCAGGCCTGCCGTCTCAGTCAGACGGGACTCCCCCTCCCCTCGCGGCCGCCGCTGCCTCCGCCTCCTTCTCTGGCTCCAGCCGCCGCGGCCGCCGCCGCTGCGACCGGCGCCATCTTGACAGTGACGGAGGGGACGGAGGCGGGGATCGCGGCCTGCTAGCGCCAATAGCGGACCGGGCCCTTGCTCGAGGGGGCGGATCAGGGACGCGTTGAGGGTCGCGGGGTCCTAGCGCCGGATACGCGCTAGGCATGGAAGGTGGGCGGAGCTGAGCAGTGTTCTCTCGTGACTCGCAGTAGAGTTGGGGAAGTGCGCTGTGGTTCCCCTTCGGGTGGAACCGAGGCGAGCGTGGGCGACACACACCTTCTCTTCCCCTTTCACCGCAGCGAGGGTCAGGATCCGTCATGGGCCAACTGACCTATTTCCTCCTTCCTGCCCAACAGTCCCAGGAGTCCAGACGTTGGCTAGCCGGAGCTCGTGGCGTCTGCCTGAGCGGCAGCTCCTCTACAAAGGACACTCAGAGTCCCCGGGCAACCCCCTCAGGGGTTAGCAACCACCTCCTAGTAGGTTTCGGTACCAAGATACTGCAAGTCAGGTAAAATGGGGAATTCAGGAGGGTTCTCTGAAAAGTACATTGATGAAACACCAATTGTTGACTCAAGGGGTGTAGGTTACATTGGATTAATGGGTTATGGCCTACTTACACCTGGCTATGGTTCTACTATGAGTGGCTGTTGGCAAGTTGCCTCTGAAAAATGAGGATAATAAAGGTTGATTACTGCTACTGGGTTGCTCAGAAGGTTAACTAGTATGATATATGTGAAGTGCTAACATAGTACCTGAAAGTACTCAATCAGTGTACATTATTACATGGACAAAAGAAGAGAGAAACAGGACCCTAAAAGGTTTCAAGTCAACTTTCCTAAATCGTGCAGAATAGTCTTTAACTAACCCCTTCTACTAACCAGGTTTATAGCTTTATTTCTTATCTCCATTTCTTTTGTTGTATTCAGTCAGTCAACAAACATTCACTGAAACTCAAAAACTGAGGGGACACACTGGTGAGGGAAACAGAAAAGGTCTGCCCTCTAGACTGGAGGTGACAGTCTAGTGGGAAAAGGAGGGACAGTGAATACTCGCAAGATCTTGAGGGAAACATGCTATAAAGGTTATGAACAGAATTCTGGGAGAGCAGATACCGGGATAGTTTAAAAAAAAAAAAAAGTGGTCAGGAAAGGTCCATCTGAGGGATGAGAAGGAGCCAGTAATTTGAGAAATGCCCTGGAGAATTAAGGCAGAGGAAATGGCTATGCAAAAGACCTGTGGTAGGAAGGAACTTGGCTGGAGTGGAACTGAGTGGCGTCCATGGTGCCAGGGAATCTGAGGTGCAGAGAGGAGTCTGCCCTGATACTGAAGAGGTGAGTGTGTAATCAAGTGAGGGCCCATTTCCCCAGGCCCTAGGAAGATAAAGAAACAAGACTGGATTTTATTGTAATTGCAGCTGAAAGCTACTGAAGAGGAAGGGATGCCTATTAGAGCAGGGAATTGAGAACAGTGATGTTTGGGGTATGATATTATATCTATATTTCTCAACTGTGAAGAATATGCCTATAGTGCAGACGCGTCAGGATATTTGGTTTGGATCCCTGGGTTGGGAAGATTCCCTGGAAGAAGGCCGGACAACCCACTCCAGTATTTTTGCCTGGAGAATCCCATGAACAGAGAAGCCTGGCAAGCTACAGTCCATGGGGTCACAGAGAGTCGGACACCACTGGGGCAAGTTAGCACTGCACCAAATGGGCCAGAGAACTAGATTTAAAGTAAAATAAAAAACCTGAGGTTGAGCCTCTTCAACACTAAATTGTTCAAATTATATGTTCTGGTCTTCAGTTTCCTTATTGATTAAAAAAAAAAGTGAACGTCACATAAGACTGCATATGGAGAAATACCACTTTCACTGAAAACTGTTAAATAATGAAATTTATAAGTGTTTTGTATGTCATGTATAGTTGCCTAAACTGAAGTTGCTCAGTTGTGGCTGATTCTTTGCGACCCCGTGGACTGTAGCCTACCAGGCTCCTCCCTCCATGGGATTTCCCAGGTAAGAGTACTGGAGTGGGTTGCCATTTCCTTTCCAGGGAATCTTCCTGACCCTGGGATCAAACCCGGGTCTCCTGCATTGCAGGCAGATGCTTTACTCTCTGAGCCACCAGGGAAGCCCTAATCAGTGCAGTACTATTTGGTAAGTACATTTATTGGGTTATTTATTGCAAGTAGTAATCCAAATCAGTGATTCTTACTCATTTTTGCAGAGTGCTACTAAGGAAAAGAATATGAACTGTTACGAACATGTAGTTTATTGATGCTGTGATTCCAAATGTGTTTTTCTTTTTTTTGGCTGAGTGTGCCATTTCCAGAACTTTTTCATCATCCCAAACTGGAACTCTGTACTGAGTATATTATAAATCCTATTCTACTTTATAAGACATGTATTTTTGAAAGGTATCTGGTAAGTTCCTCTCCCACACCCCCTAAAAATGGCAGTAGCCTTGGTGATCAGTAGGATTGTTTACTGCCATTGGAGGGTTTAATGGATTACACCATGTGAGTTTATTATTGTGGTTTTTTTTTTTGATTGTGCCTGGTGGCCTATGGGATCTTAATTCCCTAACCAGGGATCAAATCCAGATCCACAGTAGTGAAAGCAGTGAGTCTTAACCACCAGTGGTAGTGGTTTAGTTGCTAAGCTGTATCCAACTTTTGCGACCCCGTGGACTGTAGCCTGCCATGCGCTTCTGTCCTTGGGATTGTCCAGGCAAGAATACTGGAGTGGGTTGCCCACCCTCCTCCAGGGAATCTTCTCAACCCAGGGATCGAACCTGCATCTCTTACATCTCCTGCATTGGCAGGCAGGTTCTTTACCACTGGTGCCGTCTGGGAAGCACCTTAACCACCAGGCAGCCAGGGAATTCCCCCATATAAGTTTAGAAACCACCATCTGAGAAATAAGAGTAAGAAATAAGTGTCAGTTTTTAGCTCAGATAGTTAACACATCATACTAATGAGGAGGACTAATGTAGGATCAGTTAATTTTCAGCACTGAAAAACTGTGTTCTGTGACCATAACATGTGCCCTTTGGTCTTTTAAGTGTGTGCTCCAAGATGGCCCAGACAACCTGCCCTTCTGTTTATGTACAACTACTTTAACTATGTATCTTTTTAATGCTACTAATTTTCATTAAAAAATAAATGTTTCCAGCTCTGGGTAAATTTAATTTTAAAAGGACTCTTCTGTGAAGAATGGATTAGAAAAGAGCAAGAGAGAAGGAAGCCTATTTTTCTCACATTTCAGATAACCCAGCATTCCATAAAGTTCAAAAGATCAAGATCTTGACCTGAAAATACACAGTTGACCACTTTTTTGTATTTTTTTTTCTTCATACTTTTTTGTATTTTTGATCACATCCCAGATGCAGCATTTTAACTCTACTAAATAAAATGTTAAATCTCTTTTCCAGGATAGATCCTTCCTCCCCACTGCCCATATCATTCACAGGATTCTTATTCCTAATGTGAGGGCATAGCTGTAGGTCAATCAGTGATTGAAAGCGGAGGATTATAACATAAAGGGGCAAGAGGGAACTCTTTTGGATGGATGGATGTCTAGATATCACTATCTATATTGTAGTGATGGTTTCACAGATATATACACAGATCAAACTTAGCAAGTTGCACAGTTTAAATATGTCTAGTCCACTTTGTGTCAATTACTTCTCAATAAAGCTGTGAAAAAAAAAGTTCAATTGGGAACCTCTCTTAACTGGCAAACAAATTCATGTATTTTCATCTGCATTAAGGAATGCCAATTAAAATATTGACTATGCTCAGTCGCCAAGTTGTGTCCGATTCTTTACAACCCCATGGACTGTAGCCCTCCAGACACCTCTGTTCATTGGATTTCCCAGGCAAGGCTACTGGAGTGGGTTGCCATTTCCTTCTCCAGGGTTAAAATATTATAGACATATAATTGCAAGCACAGTTTATAGAATGGAATCCTAGAAAGCTTCAAAAGTTAAAAAGTTTGGGGACTTCCCTGGCAGTACAGTGGTTGGGAATCTGCCCGCCAATGCAAAGGATAGGGGTTTGATCCCTGGTCGAGGAGGATCCAACATGTCACAGAGCACCTGAGCCCATGTGCCACAACATTGAGCCTGTGCTCTGAAGCCCAGGAACTGCAATTAGTGAGTCCACGGGCCACTGCTGCTGAAGCCCACACACTATAGAGCCGTGCTCTGCAGTAAGAGAAGCCACTGCAATGAGAAGCCCGCACAAAGCAGTAAAGACCCAGAGCAGCCAAAACAAAATTAAAAAGTTGAAAAGTTTTGAATGTTTCTTTTTTTTAATCAGAGATAACACTTTCTGAAAGAACATACTAAAAGGCAGTAGAAAGACAATAAGCATTTGACTGCATGCTCAGGAAATGCGTTTAAGTACCTTAGAGTCCTTCACAGTGATACCATGAATCCTCTCAGCATCTGTCATAGCAGTCACAGTTAAACCCTAAATGTGATTTGGGTAAGGGAGTCTAACATTTCAGTCATGGCCAGATTTTTTAAAATGTGCCTTAGAAATTTGGGCTCCATGCCTTTTCTGAAATTACGTTATCTTTCACACCTGGAACTCTGGTTGTTTCTTAGAAATTATTTTTTTAATGCTGTAAATTGAAAAATCCATGAAGGAAAAAACTATGAAACCAGTAACAGTTTAAAACACTGGAAATTCCATTATTGTACCACCTAATCCTCACCACCTGTTAAATATATTTAATTGCTAAACCAGAAGTTTCTTTATATCTTTTTAAAAATTTATCCATGTCTTGGGAAGAGTATTCTAGAAAACTGTTCTTGATGTCTGTCCCTGTGGATGAGAAAGCCTTCCACCAAGAATTGATGGTCTTTAGAAAATCTTTAGCTATCTGCCAAAGCAGAACACATGGTACCAAATTCTATTCATTGTGAAAGTGTTAGAGTGACATTCCAGTGTACTTCATCCACAAACTGAAATTTATTGGCAGTGTTGTCAGATTATCATCTTTTTTCTTAAAACACAAACCTGGGACTTCCCTGGCAGTCCCTGATTAAGACTCTGAGCTTCAAATGCAGGGGGCAAGGGTTCAGTCCCTGTTTGGGGAACCAGGGTCCTGTATGCCAAGAGG